GATGAGTGGTGAGCCTCGGCATGAGGGCTGAAGAGGACTGTCACAGCCCACCCTGGAGCCCGGGCTCCACTCCCCTCGGGGCCTGCTTTCCCATGTACGCCAATCATCCCCACGGCCGGGTTGCTAGCAGGTTGCTGTTTGTCCTGACACCCAGAAGCAGAAATGGGGTGAACATCTTGAGTGGGTAGGGGCGAGTTGGAGGATGATAGCCAGTGACTCGGAGATCACTTCCTCCGTATGTTTCTTCTGCCTTTGCAGGACCTCTGTTAGGATAAACTGGAGCCCTGTGAGGTCCCTGCCCCACTGGAGAAGTTGAGGAGCACCCCGGGTGACCCAGGCGGTTTCCAGGGACCCTTTCCCTGCTCACCGGCTGCTTGTCCTGCGCCTGGCGTGTCTTGCTCCTGATGCAGCTCAGCTGGCCTCAGAGCAAACAATGAGGGCCAGAGGCCACCAGGTGCATCCTGGGCAGGAACAAAGGGCCGGAATCCTGGAGCAGGGGAGGCCCAGCTGGCCCCGCCGCCTGGCCTGAGGATCCTGGAGCCTGGATGGAAGGAAGGGTGGGCGCCCACAGCCTTTTCAAAGCCTGCCTGGGGCTGGGCAGGGAAACCAAGACCCGGAGACAGAAGCCGGGGACTGCCAGGGGCCTCCCTGTGCCCACCAAAGGGCAGTAGTTGCACTCGGAGGATTTCTGCCCCTCAGCCTTGTTGCTCCCTTGGGCCTGGGGAGGCGGCCCAGGCACCTGCACAGGGACCTTCCCCAGCCCCACAGCCTTGATATCTGAGGACAGCACTCAGCTGAGGTGGGTACGGGGCTGGCGAGGGGGCAGCAAGGCCAAGACTGAGGAGGTGGCCTTAAGGTGTGTGGTGCCGAGAACACAGGCCCCTTCCTGGAGAAGACAAGCCGGCCCGTGGGGCAGGCAGTATGGGGACAGCCCTCCCAGGTGCCGTTCCCCATTCCTGAACTGGGCGGCCTGGCCTGTGCCCAGTCCCTGGGCAATGGCATTGCTGGAGACCTGGGCCAAGGCACCTGACAGATGACACAGGACCGTGGGGCTCTCTGCCTCTGAAGGGCCAGGGAGGAGCCCAGCAGGGGAAGGGTGGGGGCCTGGCCTGAGCCTGCCCCTCACAGCCTCCTTGGCGCTGGCTCCTCATGGGTGGCTCTGAGGATTGTGGAACTGGCTCTGGGGCTGGAGCCACTCCAGGCCCTGCCTGACCACCCCCGGTCTCAGGACACAGTTCCACTGGCACCAGTGCTGAGGAATGAACTGCCCCTTGAGCCCTAGAGGTGAATGTTAAGGGCTTTGGCACTGTGACCCTGAGGACCAACTTTAGAACAAAGTCATCACTCCCTGCGTGAGGACGTTGCGGCTGCGCCCCGCCTGCTGTGGGACTGGCATGCACATGGCTAGACCATGCATGGGAAGGTCCACACAGGAAGGTTGCGGGCCCCAGGATGGGAATGGCAGAGGAGTCATTGGGGTCCACACTGGGGGACAAGACAGACCCTCAGAATCAGCTGAGAGCTGGTTTCTGCCTCGTGAGCCCCCGGAGCCCCTCAGGAAGACTCAGGACGCTCCGTGCATGTTTGCTGAGTAAGGGCTTGAATGAATCTGGGCCCAGCAGGTGTGGGCGGGAGGGGTTTGTCCCCACTACAGGAGAGGTTTTATCTTGTGGGGAGCCCCAGAAGTAAGGATGGGGAGCCAAGGATGGGGGCAGGGGAGGGCCCCATGGCCATCAGCATCCCTCACCCCTACCTTGTGATTTGACTTAACCTCCAGGAGGGGGCAGGACAGACACGAGACACTCATTTTACAGTGAGGATATGGGTCCTGGAAGGTCTGCAGGAAAGCCCAAGCTGCTGGCCCCAGGGCGGTGTCCCCACCTGGAGGGGGAGCTCCTCCACTAAGGAAAGCCAGGGCCATGGGAGAAGGAGGGCAGGCGAGCTCCTTTGAATAGAGAGTCAGCGAAGGCCAGGATGAGAGAGAGAGGGGGCACCAGGGCCAGGTCTCTTCGGAAAGACCTGGGGACAGCGCCCCAAAAGTCTCATGTGGGTCTCACCCTTCGGAGTTTAACTCAAGCTATCTGGGTCCCCACACATCCCAGGGTTTCCTCCTCCGCCTTGCAAGGGGCCCACTGGACATTAGGGAACATGAGGACCAGGAGAGCCAGGCTAGCTGAATGGGAACGGGGGGCCAGGCTTTGATCCCAGGAATACACCAGGGAGGCTGCCAGATGCTCAAGGCTGCATCTGGGCAAGCAATGGTCACTGCCATGGGCCTCATGCTCCTCCCAACACACTGGCCACGTGCCTGTGTGCCCACTTCCCACCACCCTCTCCTCCCTGCAGTGAGTGGTGGCTGCTGTGATAGAGATCATGCCCCCAATCTGCCTTCAGCCTTAGGGTCCAGCCTGGCCTTGGGCAAGCCCCTCCACCCTGGGCCTCTAGCCAGGGCCCCACTGGTCCCCAGAGGTTCTAGAATGCAAGAATTCCCAAAAGCCTTTGGCCGCCAAAACCCCGGCTGTCTGACATAGCCTGTCCTGTCGTGAACAAAATTGGGATTAGTCTACATCCCTCCAGGTGCAAGGGTAGAAGGCGGGTTCCCTTGGACAGCTTGGAGGCTGGACATGAAGTTGTTCCCAATTGGAAGCCTCCAGAAAACAGGCAGTTGGGGGGGGGGCGGGGCGTGGGAGAATTCCCAGCCTCAGGCTCTAAAATTCCCAGTTAGTCTGTGGTGCAGACAGGACTCCCTGCCTCCTTGATCAGGGAAGGGGGAGGATCAGGGCCACACTGGGCACCAGGAGCTGGAAAAACAAGGGGGTCTCTGGCCCAGAGTCTGGGATGGGGAGAGGCAGAGGGGGCACTGGAAATTGGGGACGCATCTTTGAACTGAGATACCAGCTGTTGTCAAGACCAGCCCCTGGGCCAGGCTAAGGAAGGGCAGGGCTAAAGGTGGGGAGCCGAACAAGGGTCAGGCAGGGCCTTGAATGCCGTGTTCAGGAGGCTGGCCTTTATCCCTCAGGACCTGGAGAGCCATGGAAAGATTTGAGGAGTAGCGGGCACTGGGCACAGCTGGACACTAGGGAAGGGGTGACACAGGGGCATGGATCCAGCCCAGCTCTGATAAGGAATAGCAGAGTTCCGCGGGACCATAGCAGCAGAGGCGGCGGCAGTGAAGACTTCTTATTTATTTATTTATTTGAGACACAGTCTCGCTCTGCCTCCCAGGCTGGAGTGCAGTGGTACGATCTCGTCTCACTGCAACCTCCGCCTCCCGGGTTCAAGTGATTCTCTTGCCTCAGCCTCCCGAGTAGCTGGGACTACAGGTGCATGCTACCACGCCCATTTTTAGTAGAGACAGGGTTTCACCTTGTTAGCCAGGATGGTCTCCTGACCTCGTGATCCGCCCACCTCCGCCTCCCAAAGTGCTGGGATTACAGGCGTGAGTCACTGCGCCCGGCTGGCATTGGGGGCTTCTTAAAAAAGAGGGAGGCTGGGCCCGGTGGCTCACGCCTGTAATCCTAGCACTTTGGGAGGCCGAGGCGGGTGGATCACCTGAGGTCAGGATGTCGAGACCAGCCTTACTAATATGGTGAAACCCAGTCTCTACTAAAAAATACAAAAATTAGCCGGGCGTGGTGGCGGGCGCCTGTAATCCCAGCTACTCAGGAGGCTGAGGCAGGAGAATCGTTCGAACCCGGGAGGTAGAGGTTGTAGTGAGCCGAGATCGCGCCACTGCACTCCAGCCTGGGCTACAGACCAAGAGTCCGTCTCAAAATAAAAAAAGAAAAAAGAAAAAAGGGAGTGTGGGGGTGGGGCCCGGAGCGCTCCAAGGGGCGGGGAAGGGGACTCCCAGGCCCGAAGACTCTTGGAAGGGAGGGGGGTGTGGCGCTGAGGAGGCGGCGGGACGGATGCGAGACCGGGAGAAGCGCGCTGGAGGGCTGCGGGCGGGGGATGTGGCGCGGTCCAGGCCCGTCGCGGCCTCGTCCTCACAGGGACACCTGCGGGCTCGTCCTTCCAGGATCACCTGCGGGCCTCAGGGGCCGATGCCTCGACTCCCCCTCCGGCCTCGGTTTCTCCGCGCAGCGGGGTGGGGCGGGCGCAGCGCGGGTCTCAAAGCTGCCTGCAGGGGGCGCCCGTGAGCGGCGCGGCCGGAGCCTGAGACCCAGCGGCCGCCGAGACAGCGGGAGCCGGCGTGCGAGCCGCAGGTCAGCCGGGGTCCTAGGTCCGGGGTGCGGGGTCCTGGGTGCCGGGTCCGGAGTGCAGGATGCCGGGGGTTCGGGGCTGGCGGCCGGGCGGCGTGGGGCCGTCGGGGGTGTAGGGCCGAGAGGACTGGGAGGCTGGAGTTCTGCTCCCCTCAAGGTTCCTTTCCCGCCGCCCGGAAACCAGTTCCCCGGCGCGGGGTCCGAGTCCTGCCCCGCGTTGGCCGCCCGCACGGCCCGTGAAGGGCCCAGGCACAGTCACGCCCCAGCCGCAGTTGCGGCGCCGCGTGCGGGACCCTCCGAGCCGTCCCAAACTGCAGCGGAAGGCGCGCGGGGGTAGGCGGGGAGGGAAGGCAAGTGCGGCGGCCGGGGCAGCGCGGGGTGCGGAGCCGCAGGTAGCGGGCGGGGAGCGTCAGTCCGTCCGTCCATGCGCTGCAGACCGGCCCCGCGCGCGATGAACCTTCCAGGAGCTCCTCCAGCGAGAATGGGCAGGGGGCGTAGAGGCGCTTCATGAGGGCTGGCGGACCGGACCCCGGGGCGAGGGAGGATCCCCAGGTGGAGGAGCCGGGCGGATACCGGTTCCCCGGGAAGGTGCGGCGCGGGCAGAGGCACCCGAGCGCCCGGGGCGCGCCGAGAAAGGGGGAGTCGGGAACTATGGGCCGAGCGCGGGCGCGTTCCTTGGACAGTGGTGGCGGGAACTGGGTTTGAGGGACCCAGGAGACGACGGTGGACGGGCAGGGGTGGGCGCGCGCCTCGGACTGGCCCCGGCTGTCTGCCTGGCTGCCCGCAGCGAAGGTAGGAATGGCGGGAATGGTGACGGCTCTCGAGGGATTTGGCGCAAGGCGGCCCAAGGGCTTGAGGAGGAGGCCGCGGGCCGGCAGAGCTGAGATCCTTGTGTCCCGCACTCAGACTTTAGTTGCCCCGACTGTACCATGGGAGGAAGAGGGAGACCCAGGGCTGGGTCCTAGGCTGGGGGAGTCGGGGAGCTGCAAAGAGGAGCAGGTGTTTGTGGCCCTCGTTGGAGGGTGGGCCGCAGGTCAAGCCAGCCCTCCGTCCCCATCCTGAGGCACCTCCTCTCCTGGGCTGTGCCCGCAACAGGGCCCTCTTCTCTCCTGCCAGGTGCTCAGGTCGCCTCCACTCTGCCTCTGTTGTCGGCTCCCCCTGGGTTCCCCGGCGGGGCACTCTGCCGAAACTACCTAACGGGCCAGGGCTGCCCCGGGGCGCCCCAGCCCTGGAGACCGTGGTGGAGGGTTCTGTGGAGCACCGCGGGCCTGGGACGCTATTGCTGGGTGGGGCTTCCTCACTGGCCCTGCTTTGGCCGCTCCTGGAGGCCTTGGGTGGGGCTGGGAAGGCCGGGCCCTGTGGGCAGCATCCCCCAGCCCCCATCCTGGCAGATCCATGACAGGGGCGCCTCACAGGCTAGTCCATGGCCATGGTGTCAGTCCCTCCTTGTTCTGCGCTTGCTTTTTGGGGTTTCCTAGGCTCTCCGTAGTCCTAGTGTTTCTCAGGCAAATCCCAGCCACTACTCCTCCATCTGCGTCCCCTGTTCCCCCAGTGCTGAGCTGGCTGAACTGTGAGCTTTCCTGCTCCTTGCCTCAGGAAGCTAGGGACAGCCCAGTCACCTCTGGCCGGAGGCAGGCCTTGGGCCAGGCTGACCTGGCTGGTCTCAGGGCTGTGCTGGGCTTCTTCCCATATTGGCCTGTGAAGTACAGATCCCCAAATATGCCCTGCTTCCTGCCTCCAGGAGTCCGCGACCGAGGAGGGGGATCAATGGCAATGACTGCCTCATGGGCAACCCGATGGACTGGAGATTTCAGTGCCCTTGTCTGGGTTCTGGTCTTGCCTTCTTGACCCACTCACTGGGCAGGTCACTGTCCCCTGGAATCTGATATCTCATCTGTAGAACAAGGATGATGCCTAATGTGGAAAGGCCTTGGCTTGGGGGCGAGTGGGGGAAGGTTTAGGGCAGACCACAGGGCCAGTTAGGGATGTGTGCTGGAGCTGGGGAACCTGGGAGGGAGGGTATTAGGCTTGAGGGTCAGTGGACACCACAGGGATTGCTGTTGGCAGAGGGACATGTGAATGGCAGTTGGCCTGGGAGCCAGCATGTGTCTTGAAGGCATCATGTCCTGCAAAGTCCAGGTGAGGCCTGGGCAGTGCCTGCCGTGTGGGACCACAGCCCCTGGTGGCTCTTAGTTGTGTCCTGACACCCAAAGAAGGTCTTAGTACCTCTCACCGACCTAATTCCTGAGCCACCTAACCCCAAATGAGCTAGAATTGCCTTCCCAACCATGTTTGCGGGGTCTGTCTTGTCTATTGCAGCGCAAACTGGTCCCTGAGCACGCAGGAGAGCAGAAGAAGGACAGACGGACGGATGGATGGATGAATGAAGGCGGGAAGCATAGGCTGAGGGGATTTAGGGCATGTGTGGTGAGGATGCTGTGGAGAGGAGACCACACAGGCAGGAGCTGAGCTGGTGAAAGGGAGGGTTCTAGCTCCCAGGAGAAGGGTCTGGGCCATTGACACGAGGGGCTTGGTCCTAGGAGGTGGGTGGTCCAGAGGTTGAAAGGAGCAGAGGAGCCCAGATGGGCAAGGGAATGGAGCTGGGGTGCAGAGAGGAGCCCCCACACGACTGCCCACCTCCTGCGCAGGGCCTGGGACTCTGGGTGGTGGGAAGAGGCAGTTTCGTGGCAGAGAGGGAGGCCCGGGCCCCTGTAGCCTGGACTCTGTGGATCTGGTCAGGGACTGGGGAGGATCAGGTGGAGGGAGGAGCAGGAGAGCAACTGCCCTTTATCCCAGCACAGGGGGCGATGGGAGCCCAGGGAAGGCAGGACCCTGGCTTCGGGCCTCCGCAGGCATTTTCTCTGCTAGAATATCTCGCTACCTCTCTCCCTTCACCTTCTCCTCCAAGTCCCACCCAGATGCTGCTTCTGTGAGTTGCCATGGGGATTCTCTCACCACACCCCCCACCCCCCACAGGGGAGGCCTGTTCCAGGAGTCACTGGGCAGGGGCTGCTGCTGCTGCCCTTCTATGCCCCACCCCTCAGATGTGCCGCTGCAGCCCCGGTCTTTGGCATCAGCCGTCACCTGGTGGAGAGGCTGCCGGAGCTGGCCAAGCAGAGGGAGGCCGATGGTGTCACTTGGTGTCTCCTCTGGCGTATGGGCAGGAGATTTCTCCCCAGAGGCCCCGGGCTGGTGTTTGTCTGCCCCTGTGTCACAGGAGGACTCACCTCTGGTCCCTCAGTGGCCTCTGCAAACCCTGAGCCAGCCTGGGGGAGGCTGCTCAGTGGGGAAGAAGCAGTGGCCAGGCTCTGCTTGGTCAACTTGCCCTCCTGTCAGCCTCCAGGGCTGCTTTGTCACACCTGCCCAGGGACCCAGCAGCCGGTCCTCACCCCTCCCATCCTCAGTGCAGACACCCTGGGGCATTCTGAGGCCCTGCACCCAGCACGGCCCCTTCAAGCCTCTCACAGGGTCCCGCCCAGGACTACTGGGCTCTGTGTCCTCGGGGCCATCTAGAAACACTCCTTTGTCCCCCCTTCAGCAGCGTAGTATGTGTTGCCCGCCATTTGAGGGAGGTGCAGGTGCCAATCCTTCACGTGACGTGATGTGGCTCACCGCAGCCTGTGTACATGTGAGCAGCCGCGTGCAGAGGGGAAGCTCTCCCGGGCCTCGGGGACTGTGACATGGAGCAGGAGCCGCCCCCAGCCAGGCTGCTTTCAGCACAGCGTGGGCCCCCAGCACCTTTGTGCGGGGTGTGGCCCCTCGGAGGAGGGCTGTCAGGCGAAGCCTCGTATGAGGGGGTGAGTGGCGCCCAGGCAGGGAGGAGCGGGGGCTGTGGCCTCCCTGGCCCCTAGCCTGGACACATGGGGGTGTGGAGAGCAGGAGCTGGGGCCCCCAGCGCTGGCCCCAGGGCTGCGATGTGGGGGCTGCTCTGTGAGGCAGGCTCAGGGCCTTAGCCTCCAGCTGCAGGGAGCTGGGTCTTGGCCCCATCTTGCCCACATCCTGCCACCAGGAGCAGAGAGCCACAGCCGCACCCGGGCTGTGGGGGAGGGATGCCAGGCGTCTCTCTGGGTCCTGGGCCCAGCCTGCACCCAGCGCCTAAAGTAGGAGCCACCGGGCAGCCCCAGAGGGCAGGAGGGAAGCGGAGCCCATGCTGGGTGGCTGGTCACCACCGGGCAGTGAGGAAGGCACCTGCGCTGATGAGTTTTTGGGGAGGGTTTGGGGATCCTGGGGCCCTGGGCTGTGGCAGGTTCATGCCCAGGCCCCCCTGGGCCACCCAAAAGCCAGTCATAGTGGGGCCCACGACCTGCCATGCCCCTGCCGAGCTCCCGCAAGCCACTTGCTGATGCTTCTCAGTCTACCCGATGCCTCTCAACCGTTTCCTCCTAGACTAGGTCTCTTCATGGCATTTCTGTGAGAATTCCTCAGTACTAGCTTCAGATCCCCAGTCGCCTCTTCCACCATGTGTGTGCCTGAAGCCCACCACATGCCTTATTTCAGTCCCTCTGTTTTTCAGTCCCTGGATTTTGTATTATTTCATGTTTATACCCACCTGTCCTTGTTTCATTTCCGCCAGTCGGTTCAGAAGTTCTCATTCTTGTCTACAGATGCCATTCTTTTCTTTGCATCTTTGGACATCCTAAAGGTCTCTAAAATCATTATTAGATTACTGTATTACCTTCCTTTCTGCTGGAATGAATTCATCTCCATATTTTGTATTCTGTTGTTTGCCTTTCTTAGCCTTCATTTACCTCTTGCGCTTTGAAATTGATTTGCGACTCCTCTTAGGTGAGCCAAGGTTTTGGAGACAGGGAGTGGCCTGCAGTGCCTGAAACCGCAGGGCAGCAGCCGTCTCCCAAGAATGTCCTGGGTCCTTTCCTCCTTTGAGATCCCCTGCCATATGCTCAGGGCCCAAATGGGGCCAGGCACAGCAGTGGGGGGCATACCTCCCTGTGGCCCAGCAGTTGGGGTGCTGCCAGGCCTGGTGGAGGTGGTAAACATTTGTTATGGGAAAGTAGCAGGAGGGTTCTAAGGCTGGGATTCTGAAGCCCAGGAAAAGGCCAGGCATGGCTGGAGCAGGTCCGAGCCCCTGCACTGTGCCCTGTACGTTGCCCTTAGCCACACTCAGGAGCAGATGTGCAGGGCACTGCCTAGAAGCCGGTGGGCACCTCCGTGCTGCAGGCTCTGGGGGGTACAGCCACCATCTGGGCATGTGTACAGAGGGCCTTGCTAGTGTGACCTACAAGGAACCAGAAGACGTGAGCCAGAAGATGTGTGGGTTTTGATTAAATGGAGTTTTAATTAAAGTGGCCGGGTTGGGGAAGGTGAGGAGGAAGGCAGGAACAAGTAGCAGTTTTGAGTCTGACCGCGTGGAATCCTATAAGGTTGTTCTTTCAAGAGGCATTATGCACGTTCCACAGCATGTGTCCCCTGTCTATATGGGGCAGCATCTGCCCTCTGATCTGTCCCCAACAAGGGGCAATCACAGAGAAGTATTACATTATTAGTATTTAATTTCCCCTCCTGGTTAGCAACAGATGACTGAAGGATTAATTAGATGCACAGAGCCAACAGAGAGGGATAGGAAATTGCCAGATCCTGGCCCCATCCCCTCCCTGGGGCCTCCGACCTTCCTGTCACTCTGGGAGGCTTCTGAGGGAGGGGAGCTGGAGGCCCAGGAGGCTTCCTGCTGCTGTGCTCTCTATGGGTACAGCCCCAGCCCTACGCCACCTTCCAGTGCTCTTGGTAAGGCTGAGAGAGGTCGCTTCACGCCTTTGGGCCTCAGTTTCCTCATCTGTAAAATGGGTTTCCTGGGACCAGCAAGATCACAGATGACAGTCATTTCCCAAGCTCCTAAGCAGGCTGCACAAGCTGTGTCTGAGGGTCCAGTGCAGTGCGTGACCTCTAGGCAGGTGCCTCCTGGGATGCATAAGGTTTGGCAGCTCAGCAGTGGCTGGCATCGTGGCCAGCTGACTCTGTTGCTCCCCAGTTCTGGTCCACGACACATTAGTAGCTTGAAACTGGGCACAAGGGGAGAATTTACACCACAGAAATCAGGCAAAGCCTGTAAGTCAGGGCGCCCCGGCCCGGGGCCGATTTGCCAGCCTATGGTAGTTCCCAGCCTTTCCCCGAGGAACGCACTCCTCCCCTGCCTGCCCCGAGGGTGCCTCTGACTCCACCGATCTGCTTTGCTCAGGGCTGAGAAAGGCACAGCTGAGAGTGGATTCTGGCTTGGCAGGGGCCCAAGTTGCCTGTGGGTCCGGGCAAGCCTCACCCGGGATGTGCTGGCAGCAGCTGGGAGAGCCTGCAGGAGTGCTTAAGGAGGGGCCGAGGGAGGGGACGGGCAGCGAGGTGGCCTGTGTGGACCCTGCCGGCAGGAGCCATGGGTGTCTTTAGCCCCGTGCGAGGCCGGCCAGGGCAGAGGGGTCTGTTGCCCTCATTGAGGCTGGTGGGCAGCAGGAAGTTGGCTTCAGTGTAGTCAAGAAGGTTATCAGTATCTAATGCTGTTTAGCGTGGGGACCCACAGCACAGAAGGTGCAAAACCCTGAGAATGGGGGTACACAGGCAGGTACCCACAGCTGCCAGGGACGCCTTGCCAAACAGAGGCCCCAGTCAGGCTCCTCCCAAACCAGGCATCCCAGCTGGCATGACACCAGTCCAGCCCCTGAGGCGGGTGCCGATGATGTGACCCCACCAGCAGGGCTCTGAGTGGTGGGACTGGGGAGTCCTCCCTCACCTGGGCAGACATGTTATGTTCCACCTTGTCTGTCCCCAGCAAGGCCCTTGAATCTGGAGTGTGGTCTGGGGCTGCATCAGCTTTCTCGCCTGGGATGGTCAGATTGGCAGAAGGTTGTGGCATCCTTCAATGCAGATGCCCTAGAGAGGGCCATGGTGGGACGCAGGATCCCTGGGTAGAGGCGGCTCCTCAGTGACCCACTGGGCCTCACTGGACAGTGGCCTGTTGCTGCTGCTGGTGGTGCTGGGCCTGGGAGGCCACCTTGGAACCACAGGCCAGGCACCTGGGTGGGAGGCAGCCCGGGCCCAGCACCAGCTCCACTTGTACCCATTGGGCAGGAGCTATCATGAGTCAGGTGGGCCCTGGTGACTACTGCTCAGGGAGAGAGGCCAGGAGCATCAGGGATAACTGTGTTCCTTGAGTGTGGCCAGAGATGGTGCCAGGAGACCTGGTCTGGCGCATCCCTGCCAGCGACATGCTTTGTGAGTGGCTGCCTGGCAAGTGCCCCATGGAAAGCAGGGGCTTGGGAGGACTCAGCCCTCTCCAGCTGCTGCAGGCCCTCCATTTTTGCAGGGTCTCTGGTCTCTGCTCTCTCCTTCCTCCTCCTGCTTCTGTGTCAATGCTCCATTCCAAGCCTCCTAGTAGACGCAAAAGGGCCTGTTGGGTGCAGGAGAACCTCCAGTCCCAGGTATGGCTGCAGCCTGTGCCAATCCTGTTCCAGCCACTTGAGGTGCTGACAGCATTGGAGTTGGAGGGAAAGTTGGGGTCTGTTTGAGCTCTGTCACATGGACAGTGGGGTAGAGGGGAGCCTGACCCTTTGAACAGGGCTCAGGACCAGGAGTGACTTTCTCTCCAGGTTGCCAATCCTGCTCCGTCCCTCATGTCCTGAAAGAGAAGAGAGATGAGGTGGCTGCCCGAGTCCACGTGAAAGGCAGCCTCTGACCTCTTGTCCCCAGGCAGGCAGTGGTGGCTGGCCATACACTCACAGGGCCCCATGAGGGTTCAAGACTGGAGGGGGTAGATCTGAGGGCCTCTTAGCTCTCGGAGAGGGGCAATTTAATGGGCAGAGGTCCGTTTGGACGCAGACCATTCACAGGCTCGAGGGGGACACTGGGAATTGGGGCTGGGCTCAGGCCTGCTGGGGAACCAAGACTTCTGCTTCTGAGGCATGTCAGTTAATTCCATTTTGACTCTAGGGGAGCCATTTTAAATGTTTATTTCCTTCTCATAGAATCATATGTGAGAGCTGGCATAGCCCCTAGAGGTCATTTGGGGTCCAACTGCCTCACCGTATCAATGAGGAAACTGAGGCCCAGAAGAGAAAAGCATTCTTTCCCAGAGTCCCTCAGTGAGTCCTGGTTCCATACCTGCTTTCTGCCGGGGACCAAACTCCAGTTAGTCATTCCTGGTGTCAGCCAGGCAGAGGAGCAGGTGAGGGAGAGGGTGTGGGAGGAGGGAGGTGAGGCAGCTCCCTCCGAGTGGAAGCTCACAGTCAGCTGCAGCACCGCCCCCGGCCCTGACTGCAGCTGTCTGGTGGGGGCACCTGGAGGCAGCGGGTTCGGGCGCAGTGTGAGAGGGCTTACCCTCTGCGGCAGTGGGAGAAAGGACCAGGCGGCTCCCCACATCCTTCCACATCCGAGCTCCAGGGGTCTCTGGCCTGTCCTTTCACAGGGCGGCTGGTGTCCCTTAGGTGGGTGCTGGTAGTTCCTGGGAGAGCTGACGGGATGGAGTGGGCCAAGGGGGCTGAGAAGCTGGCCTGGCGAGAGAAGGTGGGTGGGACTGGGAGAGCCTGGGAAGGGAGGGGCTTTTCTGGGAGGGAATGTCATGGGGCTGGCCACGATCCAGGACCCAGGAGACTGGTCAGGCTGCCATAGGAGACCTAAGAGGCTGAGCATGGGGGGCCAACACAGTGACAGACTTTAACAGGTTCCTGGCCCCCCCAGGAAAAAAACAGACTGCAGCTGATCCTTGGCCCTGAGTTTAGAGTGGGAGGCACCATGACCCCAGTGCGCAGAGCAGGGAATGCAGGGAGCCATGGATAGTGCTGGGGTGAGCTGGAGTCCTGGCAGGCGCCTGGCCATGGTGCTACTCGTTCTGCAGAGCCTGGGAGAAGGGGCTGCCTCCTTGGGAGGGGTTTGCGTGAGAGTCTTAGTGGAAATTCTATTGGACCAGGGGAACCAGTCTTGCTCAGTGACTTCTCTGGGTGTCCTCTAAAGTGAGGGTCAAATTCCCACCTCTCTCGCCTCCTGGTTATGACCACAGGAGACCGGGCAGGGCATGGGGCTGGGCGGAGTTGGGGGCCATCCTCAGGCTAACACCTGGCCTGTGGGTGGGGTGGGATCTGAAGCTGTAGGGTCTTCAGGGGGCCAGGGTGGGTGTGGGGCTAGGGGTGGCACTTTCTGCAGGGCCCGCCCTCTGCAGATGGTTCAGCTCCTTATCGGCTGTCCCTTTGCAGGTGCCTCGGGAACCCTGAAGCTGGGCTGAGCCATGATGCTGCTGCCAGAACCCCTGGAGAGGGCCTGGTTTCAGGAGACTCAGAGTCCTCTGTGAAAAAGCCCTTGGAGAGCACCCCAGCAGGGCTGCACTTGGCTCCTGTGAGGAAGGGGCTTAGGGGCCTGGGCCCCTCCGCCTGGGCCAGGCTGGGAGCCAGGCGGGCAGCTGGGCTGCAGCGATGGACCGTGAGCTGGCCCAGCCCGCGTCCGTGCTGAGCCTGCCTGTCTGTGGCCGTGCCCATCATGGGCTCCTCGGTGTACATCACGGTGGAGCTGGCCATTGCTGTGCTGGCCATCCTGGGCAACGTTCTGGTGTGCTGGGCCGTGTGGCTCAACAGCAACCTACAGAATGTCACCAACTACTTCGTGGTGTCGCTGGCGGCGGCCGACATCGCAGTGGGCGTGCTCGCCATCCCCTTTGCCATCACCATCAGCACCGGGTTCTGTGCTGCCTGCCACGGCTGCCTCTTCATTGCCTGCTTTGTCCTGGTCCTCACGCAGAGCTCCATCTTCAGCCTCCTGGCCATCGCCATTGACCGCTACATCGCCATCCGCATTCCGCTCCGGTGAGCAGGGCCAGGGTTACATCTGTGCAAAGGCTGTTGGTGCCCAGGCTTTGGTCTGTGCCCGGGGCCAGGGTGAGCCTGGGGTCAGGGCCTAGTCTGCGGTGTCAGCATGGTGAGCTGGTGACGGGGCCCCAGGCTCAGCAGGGGCTCCCCAGGGCCAGCACGTGGCCAGCAGTCATGCTGAACTGACTGATCCCTGTGGGCACAGGGCAGCCTGGTCCTCCCAGGAGGCCTGGGTTCCCCTAGGCTGCCTGAGGCCAACTGTGCTCTGGTTTTTGGCAGATGATTGTGGCCAGGGTCTGGCATTGGGCTTAGCAGGGAGCTCTGGTCCCGGTGACCCACGTGCTGCCAGCGGGTGTGTCTGGGCCATTCCTCACACACGAGCAAAACTCCCCGCATGATGCTGGGGTGGAGCGGGGAGCCAGGGGAAACCACAGGACCTCAGTGCTAGGAGCCGCCCGCCACCTGCATTCCCCCAGCTCCTCTGGGCCAGCCTTGCAGTGTGCATATTAGGAAAATGACCCAGAGAGGGGAAGTGACTTGGCTGAATGCCACAGTGAGTCACTTGGACCTATATGCAAATTTTTGTTGCTCCTCCAGTCACCAAGGACTCATGGTTTTGGAGGCAGCCAGTGTGCTCAGGGGCTGGCTGTTGGAGGGGATTTTTATGGTGAATCTTTTGTGAAGTGACTTCAGCCAAGTATTGTGTAAATGAAGATTTTCCCAGAGGCTGAGTTTACTCGGCGTGGATTCCACCTACCCAGGCCATAGATGAGGCTAGAAAGTGCATCCCTCCCTTGGGGACTTCAGAGGCCTTCTGTCCCACCTCCTGGCCCTGCCGCCATGGAGCTGGATTCCGCAGCCTGGGTGGTTGTGGGCCCTGAGGCCATGCATGAGGCTTGAGGTGGTGCCTCTTGAGAGTCAGGGAGCAGAGTGTGCCATCTCTGTGGTGAATTATCTGAGACTGGTGGGTGCCTATCTAAAGAGGAAGCCACAGCAGCCCCACTCAGGTTGAGGGTGCCCCAGCAGGAAGGAGGACCCAGCTAAATGAGCAAATGGAAATTTAGAGTGTCAAACCCAGGGGGCCCTTAGAGGTCATTTCCTCTCATCTTCTGGATGGAAAATGAGCCTCAGAGAAGAGAGCCAGCTGTTTCTGGGCCACACAACGAGTTGGTAGTGGAGCTGGGGCTAGGCCTGGAAAAAAATGTGGCCTGACCCCCACTGTGACTTCAGTCACTGGGCAGCGGTCATGGGCAGCCTGTCTCCCGGAGCCTGCACCAGGTGGCCATCCCTGTCACCTGGGCTCTAAGCGGGAGCAGGAGCTGCATTGGGCTGCTCCAGGGAAGGGGAGGAGTCTGGACCTCACACGGCCCTATCAGATGCTCTGTATCCCAGGAGAGTCTAGAACCCTTGGCAAAGGAGAAGGGGGACCCTGGCCAGCCCTGACAGGGATGGAATTAGGGGTCGTCTGACTCTAAGTGCAGTCTCTGGGGAGCCTCCATCCATTGCTCTGCAACGGGCAGAGCAGAGTTCAGGTTTGTTCAGTGGCAGCTCAGAACACGGAGGCCCAGGAGGGGCCCTGTCTGCAGGTGCCCGGGTGGGCCAGAGAACAAAGGACTGGAGCTGACTTCAGGGAACCGAGCTGAGTCTGCACACTGATGGGATGCTCCGTGGGGAAGCAGAGGCCAAGCTCTCATTTTTTCTCTGATTCAGAGGGCGTGATCAGGGCTGCTGTTCTCAGTTTAAAGGAGCTCGACTTTTTTTCTCTTTTGTCTCTCCCTTTCCTCCTCTGTTTTCTGAGAGTTGAGAGAATGGCTCCCTATGAAGTAAGACAGATGTGCTGTGTGGCTGTGGAAAGTTAGCTGCCTCTCTCTGGGCCCATTTCCTCATCCACAAAATAGAATAAGTCTCTCTGCCCCTCTGAGCTCACAACGGTGTTCTGAAGGTCCAGTGAGTGGATGGGGTGACAGGGACCCTGAGAAGGGTTGGCGGGGTAGGGAGGGTAGGGATTCAGATCTTTGGGTTCAGAGCCATGGACCTGCTGCCCCCTATCCTCTACCCATCTCATCCCAGCTTTCTTGGAGCTGGACCTTAGTTCCACCCAGACCTTGAGCCATTTGACTCTGCTCCATGAGGCTCTGCAAGGCTTAGGCTGGTCTCTTCTGCAGAGGGCCCTGGAGAGGATGACGACGATGATGTTCATCCTCCCTCGTGGGCAGAGAGCTTTACAGCTGCCAAAGGATGTCAGCTCAGCATCTCCTGTCATCCTCTTGGCCTGCACTGTGGCCAGGCGGATGTTCTGACCCTCCTGTTACTCATGAACTCATGGGGAGGCCAGAGCAGGGAAGGACATCAGAGTTCTTCCCTCTGGTGTCTCCTGATGTGGATGGACTCCAGGGCCCTTCAGGCTGTTCCTGGTCCTTAGGTCCCTTCGCTTTCCTGTTCCTCAAGGCCCCAGGGCCGCTGGGCATGTGGAGGTGTCCATGTGGGCTCCCGAGAGCAAGCGGGGTATGAAGGGAACTTGGAGACACTCTGGCCTGAGCTGGAGTTGCAGCCTGGCTCAGGATCCTCCCTCCTCCTTTCTCAGCTGGGAATCCAGCCTCCTCTACATGCCGTTTCCTGCTCCACTCAGAAAGGTCCATTCAGCTAGCCCTGGGTCTAGCCTCAGGCCTGCCCCACTCTCCATTAACTTTTTTAAAAAAAAAGAATTCAGTTTTGGAAAAATCTATTATTTTCCAAGTTCAAGGAACCTGTTGGGCTAGCACAGGGCCTAGTCGAGGAACTCTGTGAGAAAGACTCCAGGCCAGAGGCAGTGATGTAGCTCTCTGTGTCCCCAGAGGATAGAGAATTCAGGGCGAGAGACACGGGCTGCTTTTCCCAGTTCCCAGGGGACTTTTGCCTCACTGTCCCCTGGCTCTCACAGCAGCCCCTGGTGGATGCTCTCGCTGGTTGAGGAACAGGCCAAGGTGCAGGTGGCAGTTGGTGGTGAGACCCGAAGTCCTAAGACTTCTAAGAGGGCAGGATTGGGAGAGAGGGCTCCCTGGAGGAGGTGCCACCCAGTGGGTCTTGCAGGATGGGCAGGCAGGGTCTCACTGGCATGAGTGTGGGGGCAGCAGGTGTGTCAGGTGGGGGGCAAAGCCTGAGACAAGACCCTGAGGAAGGAATGAGCATGTGAGCACTGGTCAGGGAAGGGTGGCCTGGCTGCCAAGTGACAGAGAGAGATGAACAGCATGGGCAGGAAGCGTGGAGGCCAAGTCAGGCCTGTTCATACCGGGGTAAGGAATGGAGGTTTCCCCTGTTGGTCCATGGCTCTTCAGTTCTTGGATCAATGACTCCTTTGGACAACTTACGAAAGCTCCACCTACTCTTCAGGGTGGGACACGTGCACATAAAGCCCCACCTGGAATCATGGGGCATATTCTTGGACCATAGCGTTAGCCCCCAGTGTGGGTAATGGAGATCCCCAGAAAGGGGCAGCCTGCAAGCCAGGGGACACAGGGCTGCAGAGGGCACCTCCACAAGGGGTGGGCAGCAGCTCTGGGACCCACATTCTCTGACACGCCTGGGCATCCCAGAGTGGCGGCATGTCATGCTAGACGGCCTTGGCATCCCTTTCAGTTGGAAGGTCAATGTTTGGGGTCTAGGAGGGCACGATGTGAGTGTATGAGTCACAGATGCAGCCCAGGGTACATTGCTGGGCCTGGCTGAGGCTCAGCTGATTCCATTTGGGCCCTGATGCTGTCCCCGCTCCCTGGGCACCAGGCTCCAGGGCTCTCAGCCTATGGGGATTTCTTTTAAATAAACTTACTCTATTTGTGTTTTTTTAAAAAAATGAGTAATGTTTTGCCCATGCTAAAACATTAAAAAGGAACAAAAGAGTATAGTATAGTAGAAAGTTGTTCTCCACAACCCCCTGGTTCCCCACCCCCAGTTCCCTGCCTGCAAGGCCATGTTAAGAATCCTTCCAGAGATATTTTTTGCATATATAGTCAAGTGCTATTAAGGTATGTTTTGTTTCTGTCCCCACACGGGGCTTTCTTTGCAGAGTGCAGTGGAAGACTCCCCTTGTGGGTTCCCTCTTCTGTACAAGTAAACAATTGGACAGACCAGGGATTTCCATACTGTGTTCCCAGAAGCCTTCAGGTTGGCTCTGCTGTCCCCACCAATTCACTGATTCAGTAAACATTTAATAAGCCCCTTCCCTTCCCCAGCAGCTTCACCTCTGTGACTGCCTGGGAATGTGGGCAACAAGGTTTGCTGCTGAGAACAGTTTGAAAACCAGCAAAGCAGGTGGCCCAGGGCCCAGGCAGCTCTGCAACACCCCTGTGGCTGCTTGGCTCTGCTCTGTTGCCTCAAATGACAGGAAACTCACTATTGCCTAAGGCAGTCCATCTCTCCTGTGAACAGCTCAGCTGAAAAAGTCTTACCTACCCTGAGCCACAATCTGCCTCCCTATAATTTCCACCCACTGATTCTCCATTCTGCCCTTAGAGGGCAGAGTGCTGACAGGTCCAGGACTTGGTCCCATTTTACAAATGAAGAAACTGAGGCTCAGAGAGACAAAGTTTTAAAACATTCCTGTTTACAGGGCTGGAACCCAGGGAGGGATATGCTTTTCTCAGGAATAATGTCAGAATTAATATAGCTTCCCAGTCAATGAGGACTATATAAATTACTGTTTGCAAAGCACTAAGAATGGTGTCTGGCACAGAGTCAGTGCTATGTAATGTAGATGTGACAATGAGACAGCCTGAGATTTTATGTTTGCGAGTCCAACAAGAGGCAGGGCAGTGCCAGCTCCCTGTTGCTTGGAAGCAATGAGCAAGTCTATGACCCTCCTGTTGAGGCCCTGTTGCAGGTAACCAAGCCCCCATGGAATGGAGCTGAGGAGCTCCTGAGAATGGGCTTGTCTGGTTACTGTTTGGATTCAGAAATGACCTAAGAAATTCAGAACAGACAGACTCACCTTGGCCTGAGTTGTTTCTGGGCTCTTGGAATGTCCACAGCAAGTCCATTCCTCTCCTCGGGCCTCAATTTACCCACCTGTAAAACAAGAGGATTGGACCACATAAGAGATCAGAAGCCACCAGGGTTTCTCTTTTTCTCTGTAATTTGAATAAGTTAACAAAATTTAAATCTTAGGAGATTATACCCAGAAAACCATCTCCTCAGCCCCACCTGAGATCTGGTAACAGCAGGCACGCATTTTGCATGGCGGTGAAGACCAGGTAAACGCCCCACCAGCTGCCTCCTGTGTGTGCTACCTGTAGGCGCCTGTTCACTACCCATAGATGAGATGGTTTCTGTGGATGTTCCCAGCTCCAGAGTTAAGTAGAGCACATCTTTCCTTGCACCTTCTTTTTTTTTTTGGAGATGGAATCTTGCTCTGTCACCCAGGCTGGAGTGTAGTGGCTCGATCTCGGCTCACTACAAGCTCTGCCTCCCAGGTTCATGCCATTCTCCTGCCTCAGCCTCCCGAGTAGCTGGGACTACAGGTGCCCGCCACCATGCCCAGCTAAGTTTTTGTATTTTTAGTAGAGATGGGGCTTCGCCATGTTAGCCAGGATGGTCTCGATCTCCTGACCTCATGATCTGCCTGCCTTGGCCTCCCAAAGTGCTGGCATTACAGACGTGAGCCACCCCGCTCAGCCTTCTTGCACCTTCTGAGTGTCCCTGTCTCAGAGCTGACAATGCAGAGATGGATGTAGGAAAGCCCTGCCCCCGAGGGGCCCAGATGTGGTAGGGATCTGCTGCACTTCAGTAGGAAACTTCTCTGAGATCTCTATCCTGGACTTGAAGGATGGGTAGGGTTTCTGCCAGGTAGAGGGGAGTGTAATCTGGCCTTGCCAGAATCAAAACTGTTAAACAGAAGTCATTCCTCAGTGATCATCAAGGTTGCCTTCCTAAATTAGGGGATTTTTTTTTTTTTGTCCATTCTTTTATGAAATCTATGCCACCTTTCCTACAGGGCTGAGGTCTGCTTCCTGGCTGGCAGATCCAGCCATTTCCCGAGTATAAGACTGGGAATCGGTAGGCTTGGATTTCTGTCTGGCTCTCACTCAGTGATTTCAGGCAGATTACTGTCTCCCTGGACCTCAGTATTTCCTTGCAAATGTTAAGATGGCCATGTAAATGTTAACACGTAATTCTCTCATTTCTCTCCAGAGGGCTGTGGGTGGGTTTGGAGGGGAGAAATGGCATCTCCTTTGGCCTGGGACCTCCTCGCCTCTTTTACCCCCATGCTGCCTCTTCGCAAGGGCTTCTGGAGACCCCAAGTCAAATGGCAAATGGGGAAGAGAAGACAGGGTATGGAGTATAAGAGGTCTAGATCCCCTACAGGTCTGATCTGGCTGGTACTGCCCCTAACCAGTGAGGCCACCCTCCGGACCCCTTCCCACTCTCCAAAGGGAAGCCTGTCGTAGCCTTAACCAAGATCAACCAACATGGAGGTGACTGATCTTGGTTAAGGCTGCGACCAACATGGAAGTGATTGATCTTGGTAAAGGCCACGACGCATTTCCCTTTAGAGAAAAATAATGTTTTCCCCCTCAAAAAATCATGCGTTAATTCCCTCCAACCAAACTAAGTGCCAGGACTACTCCAAAAACTCCTCAATGACCATCTGGACGTTTGTACATGGGTTTCCATTTCTTGGGTGCCTGCTCTCCTGTTACCTCCCAGCGGCCTGTGAAAAAGGCAAGGCATATTACTTCCACTTAACAGAAGAGGATGCTGGGGTGAGGTGGCAGGAAATGACTGGTCCAAGACCTTATAGTCAGGAAAAGGGGAAGAGGGTGCTGCTCTGGGGTTCTGAACTCTTGCCCTGCTTAACCCTGGTTTCTCAGATCTCTGATGCTGGTCTCTTCTCCCCAGGTACAATGGCTTGGTGACTGGCACAAGGGCTAAGGGCATCATTGCCATCTGCTGGGTGCTGTCGTTTGCCATCGGCCTGACTCCCATGCTGGGTTGGAACAACTGCGGTCAGCCAAAGGAGGGCAAGAACCACTCCCAGGGCTGCGGGGAGGGCCAGGTGGCCTGTCTCTTTGAGGATGTGGTCCCCATGAACTACATGGTGTACTTCAACTTCTTTGCCTGTGTGCTCGTGCCCCTGCTGCTCATGCTGGGTGTCTATTTGCGTATCTTCCTGGCGGCGCGACGACAGCTGAAGCAGATGGAAAGCCAGCCTCTGCCAGGGGAACGGACACGGTCCACACTGCAGAAGGAGGTTCATGCTGCCAAGTCGCTGGCCATCATTGTGGGGCTCTTTGCCCTCTGCTGGCTGCCCCTACACATCATCAACTGCTTCACTTTCTTCTGCCCCGACTGCAACCACGCCCCTCTCTGGCTCATGTACCTGGCCATCATCCTCTCCCACACCAATTCGGTTGTGAATCCCTTCATCTACGCCTACCGTATCCGCGAGTTCCGCCAGACGTTCCGCAAGATCATTCGCAGCCATGTCCTGAGGCAGCAAGAACCTTTCAAGGCAGCTGGCACCAGTGCCCGGGTTTTGGCAGCTCATGGCAGTGATGGAGAGCAGGTCAGCCTCCGTCTCAACGGCCACCCGCCGGGAGTGTGGGCCAACGGCAGTGCTCCCCACCCTGAGCGGAGGCCCAATGGCTATGCCCTGGGGCTGGTGAGTGGAGGGAGTACCCAAGAGTCCCAGGGGAACACGAGCCTCCCAGATGTGGAGCTCCTTAGCCATGAGCTCAAGGGAGTGTGCCCAGAGCCCCCTGGCCTAGACGACCCCCTGGCCCAGGGTGGAGCAGGAGTGTCCTGATGATCCATGGAGTTTGCCCCTTCCTAAGGGAAGGAAATCTTTATCTTTCTGGTTGGCTTGACCAGTCACGTTGGGAGAAAAGAGAGAGTGCCAGGAGACCCCGAGGGCAGCCAGTTCCTACTTTGGACTGAGAGGAGGGAGCCCCAGGCTGGAGCAGCATGAGGCCCAGCAAGAAGGGCTTGGGGTCTGAGGAAGCAGACGTTTCATGCTGTGAGGCCTTGCACCAGGTGGGGGCCACAGCACCAGCAGCATCTTTACTGGGCAGGGCCCAGCCCTCCACTGCAGAAGCATCTGGAAGCACCACCTTGTCTCCACAGAGCAGCTTGGGCACAGCAGACTGGCTTGGCCCTGAGGCTGGGGAATGGCTCCAACAGCCTCCTGCCACCCACACACCACTCTCCCTAGACTCTCCTAGGGTTCAGGAGCTGCTGGGCCCAGAGGTGACATTTGACTTTTTTCCAGGAAAAATGTAAGTGTGAGGAAACCCTTTTTATTTTATTACCTTTCACTCCCTGGCTGCTGGGTCTGCTGTCAGTCCTGCTGCTAAACCTGGCACCAGAGCCTCTGCCTGGGAGCCTCAGGCAGTCCTCTCCCGCTGTCACGGCTGCCATCCACTTCTCAGTCCCAGGGCCATCTCTTGGAGTGACAAATCTGGGATCAAGGACAGGGAGTTGTAACGGAGCAGTGCCAGAGCATGGGCCCAGGCCCCAGGGGAGAGGTTGGGGCTGGCAGGCCACTGGCATGTACTGAGTAGCACAGAGCTACCCAGTGAGAGGCCTTGTCTAACTGCCTTTCCTTCTAAAGGGAATGTTTTTTTCTGAGATAAAATAAAAATGAGCCACATCGTGTTTTAAGCTTGTCCAAATAAGAATGGTGTCTGAGTTCGTTTCCTACTCCATAGCTAGGCCTGTGCACACATACCGGCATGTGTTGTGTATGAGAGAGTGTGTGCGTATGTGCAGACACCCTGCCTGCCCCAGGGGCCCTCCCCAGGCTCCTGTCCTCGAGGGGACAGGCTGCCTGGCTGCACCACAATCCAACCTGCATTTCTATGAGGGCCCACAGGGGCTGTGGGAGAAGGGGCTTTCCCCAGCAACTCCCTCCCTCCTTATCTTCCTACATTTTTAAGGGAAGATCTCTTTGTATGTTACCTTCTCGGAACTGTGACCTGCTACCCCTGCCCTGCTCCACCCTTTAGCAGAGGTCACAGAGGTATCTGCAAACAGATCTGGGCAGGGACTACACTGCCTTCCCCTAGAATCCCCCTCCTTCTATTCTTAACAAAAGAAACCTAGAAGGAAGGGGTGTTTTTGCTCTGACCCCGGCCTCAGGGGTCTCCTGCCTGAGGAGGTGGTGCCATCTTTCTGTGATGGAGAAGTTTGAGGCCTGGAAGGCGTTTAGCAACCTGCCCCTGCCTGAGGTTGGCGGGGAGCTGTGATTGTCCCGGTTTGGTCTCATTCACTCTGGGTTTCCGGAAGGAGTGTTCGAATGTCAAGGGTAATCTTCACATAGCCCTGTGAGCCCTGTTTTACAGATGATTAACAAGCCCAGAGAGGTTACATGCTTGCTCCAGGTCACACAGCTAGTAAGTGGCAGAAGTGAACGTAAAACCCAGGTCTATCTGACTGTAAAATCCATGTTCTTTTTTTCCATTAACTTATGATGAACTATTTGAACCAAACCAAAAAGTATAAAACATCATGTCCTTAGCACTCTGCTTAAGAACTGAAACATGACAATGTTGGATCTGACCCCTGCCCATCATTACCCTGCCTCCTAGGCCTGGAAACAACTACTTTCCTGAATTTCATTTCTTTCCATTGCTCTTCTTGCTCTTCTTCTTCTTCTTCTTTCTTCTTTCTTTTCTTCTTCTTCTTCTTCTTCTTCTTCTCTTCTTCTTCTTCTTCTTCCTTCTTCTTCCTTCTTCTTCCTTCTTCTTCCTTCTTCTTCCTTCTTCTTCTTCTTTCTTCTTCTTCTTTCTTCTTCTTCCTTCTTCTTTTATTTTATTTTATTTTATTTTTTTGAGACGGGGTCTTGCTCTGTTGCTCAGGCTGGAGTGCAGTGCAGTGGCACAATCTCAGCTCACTGCAACCTCCACCTCCCAGGTTCAAGTGAATCTCCTGCCTCAGCCTCCTGAGTAGCTGGGATTACAGGCACATGCCACCATGCCTGGCTAATTTTTTGTGTATCTTTAGTAGAGATGGGGTTTCACCATGTTGGCCAGGCTGGTCTCGAACTCCTGACCTCATGATCCACCTGCCTCGGCCTCCCAAAGTGCTGGGATTACAGGCATGAGCCACCACACCCAGCCCTTTCCATTGTACTTCTTTACACTTTTAGTATATGGATGCCTGCAAAACTGTCCCAAAACCAACACAGAATTGTTTTAGCTATCTCACTGTTATATCCTCAGAGGTCCTCTAGACTGGCTGCACAGGAGAAATACCTAGGAAGCTTCAATCAGCACCAAAGCCTGAGTACCTTGCCTCAGAGACACTGGATTAATTGGCCAGGGTAGATCAAGTAATTCCCTAGGGGGTTCTTATGGACAGCCAGGACAACCTATAAGGAGCCACTGATACAAATGCACTGAGTCCACCCCCTGTCCACACCAGCTTCCTCCCTCCTAGGATCTGCACTGGCTGTGGGCTGAGGGTGGAACAGTGGCTGGGGTGTGCCTGAGAAGACCAAGAACACAGAAGCTGCCAGTCCTCATGAGCAATTGGTGGGAAGAGGCCAGAAAGAGAACCACAAAGGTAGGGAAGAATGAAACCTTGTCTCTCCAGCCTTTTCTGAGACCTTGGGAACCAAGCTTTGAGTACTGAGCTAGATGGGTGTAGGCTTTGGGGCTGGGAGAACAGGGCCAGGGGCTCAGCAAAAGCTTCTAGGTACAAATGGGCCCTAGTCCTCCCAGGGCCAGCTCCTGCCTAGTGGTAGAGCACAGGCCTCCTCATGTCCTTAGGAGCTTAGGGTCCCATGTCCACACCCACCCCATGTTGGTTCCCACCTTCAGCAGGCCTGAGTGTAAGCACATGGGCACAGACCTGAACATATGCAGGCATTATTCCTCAGACAGTAAGAGAATACATGTGTGCACATATAAACATGCTAGTGGGCAGAGCCCACCTCAACAGGAATAAGTGCCCACAGCAGCAGCATGAGGGAGATGAGAAGACTGGCGAAGGGCATGAGCAACAGCCCAGTGCCATGGGGTACAGGCTATGTCCCGGTCCACACTGCCCTGGGCCAGGCTGCCAGGAGCTGTGGCCTGGGCTGCTCCAAGCCCTGCAGCTCTGTCGAAGGGCCCCTCTCCACCCTCTCCCTGCCCTTCCCAAAGGGCTGGGAGTGGATAATATGCTTCATTCAGGCCTGTCCCACGCATATGGGTCCCATCACAGATCCATGTTCTCCATGGCCCCAGCCCCTCTCTACAGTGGGTGTTGCCAGGCCACTGGGAGGCCTGAGAGCAGGGGTCTGGCTCAAGCTGGGTCTCGGCTCATCACTGGTCCTCACAAGAAACAAGCCTGCTGGAGGGCTCCCTTTCACCCTCCTCCTCTAACCACCCCTCCTGAAACCCTACCTTAATCGGGTTGGATTAAGGCCCTATCCTCTGGGAGGCATCACCCGGAGGCTCAGGGAGCTGGGTAGGGGCCACAGTTCTGTGCACTGACCAGGGGACAGCAAACTACAGCAGGGCAGGAAAGAGAGGCCACCTGGGTACTGTGAGGAAATGAGCTGCTGATGTTCCCTGCATCTTCTGGGACTCGGCATCCCAGAAATGGGAAACTGGTCTTTTCAACTGTGGTGGGGAAACAAGAACCCAGGGGAATCCAACTGCTCAGCATGTGGGAAGGGCTCTGCCAGCCCACCCCTGCTCCTGGGGCCGCAGGGAAGGTGGGTGAGGCCAGCACTCTGTGCCTGGGATGCTGCTGCTGTCGTGCGATGTTGTGCTGCTCCCCCACATGGCTGCTGCTATGGGCTCTTGCCAGTTGGACACCCTCCCCTGAGCTCTGGTGCCGGACAACTGTTTTCTGAGCATGCCAAGCAATGCCCCTCTGCTGGTGGGAGAAGTTACTTTAGAGGGTACAGAACTTAGGAAGACCCAGGTGTGCTGTGAGGCAAGTGGCTCCCTCCCTGACCCTTACTGCTCAGTGTGCAAGGTTACCACCTTCCCCTCCTCCCCACACCCATCCCCCCTCTCTCCCAAGGTGCCCCTCATTGCTGCTGTCACTCATCATTAGCAGTTACTGTCATTGTTAGGACAGCCCGTGTCAGGCTTCAGAGCCAAGGGAGGGGGCAGGAGAATGTCAGATGACTCACACAACCTTAAAAGAGGGGGATGGACACACAGAACACAGAAGCTAGCTATGAGAAACACCTTGTGAGACTCTGGTTCAACCCTTTTTCCAGAGGAGAAAGAGCAGCTTAGCAGAGCTTCCTGACAATTCCCTCTGCTTCCCATTAGTCAGGCTTGGAGGGAGGCTGGCCTAGGAGAAAGGCCAGGCCAGGGAGTCAGCATGAGGCTGGGCAGGTGACAGGGGTAGCCTACCCAGGGTCCTCTGAGGGAGGTGGGGAAGGTTTTGCATGGACCCATCCACGCTTCTTTGCCTTGTCCAAGGAAATGTTTCTGTTTTGGGGAGGAGAGGAGTGACTCTTTGTCAAATTAGCCATCTGAACTCTCACCTAACAACCAGCTAAGCCCTCGGATCGTGCTGGTTAGGACCTGAGCCCTATCTCCTGGCTCTCTGTCCCTCTCCCAACCACTTAATGAGCCCTTGATGATGCACACTGAGCCAGGGGCAGGATGCAGGGAGCTAACCACTGACTAAGGAGAACAAGCCCAATGGGGAGAATAAGCCTGACAGAGGGAATAAGCCTGTGAGGGACACACAGGCTTTCAGAGGAGGTGAAAGTCACACCCTAGCGGGCAGCCAGGATGGGCTTCACAGAGGGGGCCACGCCAAGCTGGCCTGTCAAAGGCCCGCGGTCAGCTCCAGGGCCCCGTCTCTTCAACCTGTTGGTCAGGAAATAAGAACAAGGAGGGGCTGAGTAAATCTGCGCCTGATTTTCATCTGCCTACACTGAATTATGCCATCCATTTGGAGGCAATTTTCAAGTTAAAATGTTGTCAGAAGGCTGTCACAGTTTTGATCTTTCTTTTCTGTTCTTTCTCAACCCACCCACATTTTCTAGTTAGGTTGGAAAGGGGAGTGAGGGGGATAGAGCCTGGTTTATATTCAGAGATTTCTGGAATTGTTAAAGATAGATGAGACTTTTAGAAATTATCAAGTTTTCTCTTAGGAAAATTGAGTCCCAGTTCAATGTCACAATTAATTGTTCTTTCAGTTCTAGAACTTTCAGGGGAACTGGAGGGCCACGGCCAGGCATCCTGCAGGCTATCTCTTGGGGTTTCAGCTTGATTCTCTCTGCTGCCTCATTCAGAGATGCCAAATAATCCCACCACTTGCTCCTTCCAACCACCACCTTGTTCCACCGACTGCTGGATGGGGAGTCAAAACACCAGTTTCAATCCCTGGCCTTGCCATTGACTTCTTTCACAGGACAAGTCACTGAGCTGCCACACCTACTTTTAGATAAAATGAGTTAATAAACGTGGGCCGGGCGTGGTGGCTCACGCCTGTAATTCCAGCACTTTGGGAGGCCAAGGCGAGTGGATCACCTGAGGTCAGGTGTTCAAGACCAGCCTGGCCAATGTAGTGAAACCCTGTCTCTACTAAAAAATACAAAAAAAAAATTAGCCAGGCATGGTGGCGAGTGCCTGTAATCCCAGCTACTTGGGAGGCTGAGGCAGGAGAATCTCTTGAGCCCGGGAGGCAGAGGTTGCAGTGAGCTGAGATTGTACCATTGCAC